TATTATCTATTGTACGATGTTTTTTTCTTGAAGCCAAACTGATTATCCACTATTTGATTAGTTTCTTGTAAGTACTTACTAGTTAATCTAGTATTTAGCATCATAGTATATAATTTAGATACACAACTAGAAATGGCAATGCCTCTATAGTTATTAGCGTCCTTTGGGTTACCTGACTTAAAATAGGAATAATGAGACTACTGTTCCAATGTAATGGCATAATGCCTGAATTTAAAACTTGTGTGAACATTTTAGTAAGAGAATTAATGTATTAGTAATAATAATTAATAATGTTTGTAGTGTATGGGTGATATACAGCTGTGACACAAACCAATACAATATATGTAGTGTATGGGTGATATACAGCTGTGTCACAGACCAATACAATGTATGTGATGTATGGGTGATATACAGCTGTGACACAAACCAGTACAATGTATGTGATGTATAGGTGATATACAGCTGTGACACAAACCAATACAATATATGTAGTGTATGGGTGATATACAGCTGTGTCACAGACCAATACAATGTATGTGATGTATGGGTGATATACAGCTGTGACACAAACCAGTACAATGTATGTGATGTATGGGTGATATACAGCTGTGACACAAACCAGTACAATGTATGTGATGTATGGTGGTATACAGCTGTGACACAAACCAATACAATGTATGTGATGTATGGGTGATATATACAGCTGTGACATAGGCCAATACAATGTATGTCGTGTATGGGTGATATACAGCTGTGATATAGACCAATACAATGTATGTGATGTATAGGTGATATACAGCTGTGACACAGACCGATACAATGTATGTAGTGTATGGGTGATATACAGCTGTGACACAAACCAATACAATGTATGTGATGTATGGGTGATATATACAGCTGTGACACAGACCGATACAATGTATGTAGTGTATGGGTGATATACAGCTGTGACACAAACCAATACAATGTATGTGATGTATGGGTGATATATACAGCTGTGACACAGGCCAATACAATGTATGTAGTGTATGGGTGATATACAGCTGTGACATAGAACAATACAATGTTTGTTTATGTAGTAGCTGTTATGTGTAATGCAGTCCACAATGACAGATTGTGACAGATTATGTAATGGGTACTGCCCCTTGAGCATGAGGCTCAAGTGGTTTATTTGATGTAACTCAACCAACATTTAACTAATTTCTTACACAGATTTGGGGTGTTTCTGGTCAATCAAAATGTTGTTGTGAATATGCATCAGTAGTTAATTTGTAAACAGTTTTATTTCGTTGAGTGGAAACCCCGGGAAACACTAAACCTGTTGAAAAAGACTAAACCTGTTGAAAACCTGTTTCATGTTTTCGCTTTCTTTTAATCAAATATTCACTGGACGATTATGGTACACCCATAATACACCCTTTACCTTGGGTTTAGTGTTTTTATTGTCAGGTTTAGTGTTTTTCGACAGGTTTAGTGTTTTTCGACAGGTTTAGTGTTTTCTGGGGTTTCCACTCTACGGTTTTATTTATCATTCGCTTGTCTGCATGTTTTTTTGATGCCCTTATCTAATAATAATATTAAAACAATTGTTCATTCACTTTTTTTACAGACTAGTGGTCAAATGCTACAGGCTGGGGCATGTTCAAGTTTTCTCAAACCTTTTGTGTCATGTACAGGTGGATCTCATCATGCTCAGATCTTCAACTTGTTGGATGATATTAAAGTTGCTATGTTAGAAACTAGCAGTGGAAGTAGAGAACATGTACCTTCCCTACCAGAGGTATTCCAGTTTTCTATTTTAGTAGTTTGCATGATGACAATAATTTATAATTCTTGTCCAGATTGTGGGAATAAACAAATATATGCATGAAATATTACTGTAACATTACTTCATTAAATTGTCTATAATATGTGACTAAATGAAATTCAAAATTCCTGAAAGAAATAAATTTCATTCAAACCAAATTCACCACCTTATGCTGACGTTTAAATCTAATTCACTGCTTTATCCTTACTTTCAAACCCAATTCTTCAGCTTATCCTAGACCTTTAAACACAATTAATCATTAGCTCTCGTGAAACGGAGCTTATGTGGTATCGGTGTCTGTGACTCTGTGACTAAAATTTGTTCCACTGATAACTCAAGATCTACAATTTCAATTCAAATGAAATTTGGCACACAGCTAATATATGATGAGTAGATGTGCTGATTAGATTTTGGTGCAATTCCATGCATATTAATTAGTCAATTATTGCATTAATTAATTTATAACTTAGAGTCTTAGAGTTTCTTAACAAATATTTGACTAGGGTGAGTAGCCTAATTTGCATATTGCAATAACGTATTCTGTCGCAAAAAAAAAACTGGTAATATTTCATTGGAAGGTCTGCAAATTTGCCAATTTTAGTATATAATGATTTATTATATCATGATAGATGTTATTTGAGCTGATACAGCATCTAAAAACATCAAATGTATGCGAGTATGGGGAGTACGCATGTGCAGTTACAAGAGTGACGCAACCATTTTTTCAGTTTGACGAAAAAGCAGTACTATTCCGATTTTCATGAATGCAAGTTCAATTTCACTTTCACTTTCACAACTTTCTGCCAATCTTGATTCGTAAATGTGCTGGTTACATGTACAGTGTTGTCTTCGGGCCTGTGTCGCTTAGACAATAGCTGCGTAACTTTTGTTTCGCCCGCGATTCTGCAGTTTTCTCATCAGGTCTTTTAAGGGTATCGGGTCCGATACTGTTCTTTCTTTCCACGATACTGTTTCCCTCAAGCTGGGCCGTTTCCAGGATATTGTTTTGCAATGATGAATCAGAACAGAACAATTCGTGTGAACTGATCGATCCTAACTTATTATCTGAATACTCGTATTCACCTGCGGGTCTGCGGATATTTCGGCCTACTTTCAAGCATGAATATAGAAGGAAATCAACGATTTTTTTTCAGTATCGTTCCAGATTTTGCAAGAAATTTATATAATAATCACAGTGATCACTACTATTGGGTTCAAAAATTATTTATAATTATTCAAAATATAGTGGCCATGGCTGTTGGTTCAACCTAGTACTGACCTTCACCGCTATTGCGACGCCATGAGCAGAGAAAAGGAAAGCTGAATCCCCGCGTCTACACTTAATCCATGTATAAGGCAGACACCCGACAGCAACAGCAAGGAAGTTTGTCAGTTTTATTCAAGTTAAAAATTTTCTATTTTATGCATTGGAGCTACACAACGTGACTGAAAGCACTTCCAATGTGATCTAATTTGTAAACAATCTCTTTGCACACGACTCCCAGTGTCTTCTCCTTGAGCATACAGTAAAGTTTCACATTTGTTTTCGCATGGTTTCCATCTTACTCAAATAAAACAAAGCAGTTGATTCCTATTTTACTTAGTGTTTATTCTTGTTTGATATTTTTAAACAAAAATGCACTCATTATAAACAAATAGTAAATATGCGGGTTTTTTGTTTTTGCCGAAGGAGGACAAGGAAGACAAAATGACGGTAGTTTTGTTCTAGGGTCAATCGCGATCTTCGGTTTGTATCAAAAGCAAGTCTCACAAATGGAATATTTTTTTTTTCGAGCGATAATTTGATAGAAATTAAAAAAATTTCAATCGTTGGCATATGTAAGGGCTGGATCACTTACTTTCAAGGACTCAAAGTCTGGACGAACATTAAAACATTAAAAACGATGTTTTTATTTATCTGTTCTAGGTATGTTGTACAGACTTTTTAGTTGTACTATCTTGATGATTTAATTTCAAGAATCTGTCAAGGAAACAATCTGTTGTTACTTTACATGTTCATGTAGGATTAATAGTTGGACTACCTATATTAGTTGGACTACCTCTATTAGTTGGTCTACCTCTATTAGTTGGACTATCTATATTAGTTGGACTACCTCTATTTGTTGGACTATCTATATTAGTTGGACTACCTCTATTAGTTGGACTACCTCTATTAGTTGGACTATCTATATTAGTTGGACTACCTCTATTTGTTGGACTATCTATATTAGTTGGACTACCTCTATTAGTTGGACTACCTCTATTAGTTGGACTATCTATATTAGTTGGACTACCTCTATTTGTTGGACTATCTATATTAGTTGGACTACCTCTATTAGTTGGACTACCTCTATTAGTTGAACTACATATATTAGTTGGACTACCTCTACTAGTAGGACTACATTTATTAGTTAGACTACCTATATTAGCTGGACTACTTCTGATCGCTGGACTACCTCTATTAGTTGGACTGCATCTATTAGTTTGACTACTTCTATTAGTTGGATTACATCTATTAGTTGGACTACCTCTATTAGTTGGACTACCTCTATCAGTTGGACTTCTTCTATTAGTTCGACTTCTTCTATTAGTTCGACTTCTTCTATTAGTTCGACTTCCTCTATCAATTGGACTTCCTCTATCAGTTGGACTTCCTCTATCAATTGGACCTCCTCTATCAGTTGAACTTCTTTTATTAGTTCAACTTCCTCTATTAGTTGGACTTCTTCTATTAGTTGGACTTCTTCTATTAGTTGGACTTCCTCTTTGAGTTCGACTGCCTCTATCAATTGGACTTCCTCTATCAGTTGGACTTCTTCTATCAGTTGGACTTCCACTATCAGTTGGACTTCCTTTATCAGTTGAACTTTCTCTTTGAGTTCGACTTCCTCTATTAGTTGGACTTCTTCTATTAGTTGGACTTCCTCTATCAGTTGGACTTCTTCTATTAGTTGGACTTTCTCTGTCAGTTGGACTTCCTCTTTGAGT